AGTACGATCATCTGAATTCAAAATATCGCTAATGTTTCAACCGTTAAATGTCTATCAAAGCGTCAGAATCAATTCAGTTCAATAGTTCATCCGGATCGCGATCTTCTGAATGCTTCTTTAACATTTGTAAAATATCAGTCTATGTGATCAGTTTGTGTGTTTTTTATTTGTTGCATTACGATAGCGTTGACTGTTTCATGTTGTTATTTTGCTCGTAGCGATAAAATTGTCTAGTGTGTTGCGAGGACAAAAAAACTTACGAAGACGGGGAAAATCGGGACGAAATTTCGTAGTCTGGGATCCCAAAAATGCGTTCTACTCGAAAACAGGTCGGGGATGGGAATCGAGGATGCACACAACACTCTAAAATTGGGAAGAAGCAAAGTTTTTTCAAGTGTACATAAATTCATTCATGTTTATTCGATGGTATTCGTTTGACGTGTGCAATATTATGATGCAATTTTGAGTTATATGCTGATGAGTTATCAAAGAAAGAGGAGGGAGTGTGAAGCTGTGAGTTGAATATGCGATGCATTATGTCATGTAGCTGGGAAAAAATTCGATTCAGCTTATGCCTTTACTTCGTCCATGCTTTAAGCATAGAGCGTTGAGTGTGTATGAGTTGACTGACTAACAGTTATGAACGTGTGTTTATTGAGTTCATTCAGAATCTTTTGAATCGCCTAGTAGTTAGAATCGCTTTTACTTATCGTTGCTTTAGGTAGGAGGTTTTTTTAAGAGTTGACATACAAATTGAAATAGTTTCAACGAAAGTCTCTTCAGTATTTTCGAGTATGCAATGGCTCCGAAGAATATTTAATATTTTAAGTGGCATGGCTCTAGAATAGACAAGTGTAACGTGAAGCTGAAGTTTAAAGTTTTCTCAAGAAACATAGGAAAATTCATTTGCGTGGATCAACCGACGTTCAACTGTAGGAAGTAGAATAAGAATGTCAAAAATTGAACGTTTCTCTAGAGTGTCTCAGTTTAATCATTTGAGTTTTTCGTCGCTTTTCTGCAGTTACAATTGCTTTCTATCAGTTTTTCATCCTAACTGTAAAACTGGTTTGATATATAACGGTAGTTACGAGTGGAACTTCATAAGTGATTGCTAGTGTTAGGACTGTCTCTAGCCCTCTGTCGTTTCCGGATTTCTGTGGATCTCTCTATGTTTCGTTGTGAAGAATTATGAAAATACCGATAGTATCCATCCGCACTGTTTGTGATTTCATTTGTATATTCTATCATCAGATATAATCAGGAGTAGTGATCAGGATGAAGTCCACCGTGTTCTATCGTCCAAGGATAGCCGGACCTCTTCTTCTGCTTAGAGTGAACCACTGAAAGACTGATAGTACTCTTTTTGCTGTAATTGAGAGCTTCTGAAACTGCTGTCTGTTGTACCATCTTAATGAATGATGTCAGTAGTTGGGCTTTGAATGATAGTGTTGTTTTGATAGTGGATGAGCGATCTAGGTGATTCTTCATTGATTGATACGAGAGATAAAAATCGTTACTTGTAAAAAAAAATAGGAAGACCTAAGAGAGATTATTTGTACAAAACAGAACCGAAAAGTGAATTTGTAGAATTATTTGTACAAATTACTGTTTTAAAGTGAAAATTTTCTCGTACATTGCTGTGTTCGTCTGCGATTGTATCGAGTGGAAGAATATGTATGTGGTCCTACATCGTTGCATCATTTCGTATCATTTCTCTATCGCATTTTGTTTTCAAAACACATCAGTTTTCGACGATCGATACGGCAAAGTGCGTTACGATTAGCTTAATACGTCGTGTATGTGCACAGAGCCGAGCTGTGAAATAAGCTTCATCTATAGAGAACGAAGCATATCTATTCATAGCAGCAGTCTCATTTGAATTCACTGAATCTATCTCATTTGAATAGGGCAATAGATTCACCAATTGTTTTCACTGGAATCGTTAACTGATCATGAGTCATACGTACATTTTTTGCATAAGTCGAGCTGTTTAGAAATTCCATGTCATCAAAAGAGTACGCTTACAATTAGACTTCAGCCAGTATTTTGACTTAGATTAAGCTTACTTATGGACTTAAGCTTGTTTGCACCAGCATGTGTCTGTTCGAGTACATTGGCGCCCTGAAACAGCACGAATTCCCGTTTTTCAATCCCATTCCATCTCAATATTTTGTTCTCTTCCAAATTTATTCAAGCATTTCATTCCGTTCTTCACACCATATTCGCCTGGTCATTGTCTTTATGAGCCTATATGAAAGCGTGAAAGAAATTGATGCTTATTGATATTCGCTGAAATGAGTTCCTCCTCTCTTTTCGATGAGCGTATTCTGAGAAATGATCTTGAAATACTGGAAGGTTTTGATTTTTGTAGGAGTAGTAGAATAAGATTTAATTATCGAATCGATTTTCATACGATTTATCTGAAAGATTAGTGAAAAAGTGGAGATGAATTGATAAGATTTTGTTTTTGCTTCAGCCGGTCGCCCTCGTTGCAAAATGTCTCTGAACGCCGATCCAGCTTTTCAACAACTGAAAGCTTATTTCACTTCGACTGGCAAGCAGTTGAAACTTGTGGAACTCTTCAAAAATGATCCAAAACGTTTCGAAAAATTCAGGTTTGACAATTCTGACTTCTGAATTTTCTGTGTAAAATAAAAGAGTGCGTTCATCTGGAATGAGTGGAGAATATGGTCGAGAGGATTTTTTCCAGTGGAGTTTTTTTCCAACAAAATTGCCCACTCGTACTGTCATATTCCAAGTACAAAGCTGATGTCTCCCGAATGTAAGATATTCAAATGACCAAATAATTCAGACACTCCATATTTTGCAGCACTGAACTGCAAACACCCGATGGACCAATTCTGTTCGATTATTCGAAAAATTTGATCGATGAGACTCTGCTCAGCAAATTGCTTGATGTGGTAAGCGATTTATTCAGTCTGAAAATAAAGAGCTTGATAAAATTGCAAAACATTGGAAAATTCTGCGCTTATATGCTCTAGTTTCCCGTTGTGTGCTAGCGATATCGCAAACAGTCGTTATTGGTTATTGATCGCTTGTGTGCTATTGATCGATTGATTTCTTATTGATCGATTGATTTCTTGATCATTGCTGATGCAATATGATCTGCGTAAGATAAAGTTTATAAGCCGCAAGGTTTTTTGCATCGGTTAAGATAATGCTCTGTTATCCGTTGTGAGATACCACTGCTGTTTATTAAATTTACTGGTGTATAGAAGAAAATTTTTGTGTATTTTATATGTCTTTACTTTGCTTTGAGATAAGTTATGAGATCCAAAACAATTTTCCTTATCGAGTGATTAGTTGAAGTGATTAATTGAAGCAAGCAAATTCAGGCTCGTTCGCGTCATGTCGAGAAGATGCGTGATGCGATGTTTGCGGGTGAGAAGATCAACTTCACCGAAGGTCGTGCCGTTTTACATACGGCACTTCGCAATGTTAACAATAAGCCGATCACTCTGGATGGACAAAATGTATTGTTCTGTACTTGTATCCGTGTTTATTTCAATAATTCTATTGGATGGAAATCTGCAGATTTGTAGATTTCATGAGAGAGTTATTGGTTTTCATAAATATCAAGCACAAGTTCAACCCATTGTAATTGTAATTTAGGTGACAGATGCTGTGAACAAAGTTTTGGAACACATGAAGAAGTTTTGTGATGCTGTCATTAGCGGTGAATGGAAAGGTTACACGGGAGAGAGAATTACGGATGTGGTTAACATCGGAATCGGTGGTTCTGACTTGGTGCGCTCTTATTCCTTTCATTATTCGACAGAATCTATTGTCATGCTTTGGTTGCAAAAATTTTCATCTGAATGATATGATTAAATAAAATTCGTAATCGTACTTGATTTATAGAACATGCTCAATTGAACATTTATTTGTTCGTTTTCATTGGATAGATGTTAGGGGATAAAGAGAGTAGTTATGGTTTGATGTGAATAAGAAATTATATGTTGCTCTTTGAAGGGTCCACTAATGGTTTCTGAAGCGCTTCGTCATTATCAAGTTGGTCCGCGAGTGCATTTCGTGTCGAATATCGATGGTACACATATGGCCGAAGTGCTGAAGAAGGTGAAACCCGAAACGACGATCTTCATAATCGCCTCGAAAACCTTCACAACTCAAGAAACAATCACCAACGCTGAATCGGCCAAAGAATGGTTCCTGGATGCGGCTAAAGTTAGTCTCCGTTTGGAATTTTTCGATTTTTCATTCGTATTTCTTTCTATTCCTATTGGTTGATTTTATTTTTGCAGGATAAATCAGCTGTTGCAAAGCATTTTGTTGCCTTGTCAACGAATGGACCGAAAGTGCGTGATTTCGGAATCGATGAAGCGAATATGTTCGAATTCTGGGATTGGGTCGGCGGTCGCTACTCACTTTGGTCTGCAATTGGTCTTTCGATAGCCGTTCATATCGGTTTCGAGAACTTCCATAAGCTGCTCGAAGGTGCCAGCTTGGCTGACGAACACTTCCTGCACACACCATTGGAAAAGAATGTATGTCATCCGTCTTTTTTTTTTGAAAGTTTCCATGCGAAATAATCATCAAAGTGTGTTACGGAGATTTTTCAGTGAAGGCAGTCATAGTTCATGCCATCGTAAATGACATTTATTTTCAATGAAATGTGAAAGATTTTTGTTTCCGAATGAGGAAGACTATCGTTTCGAATGATTTTGATAAATTCGTAAGATGAAATGAAGCACTGAGAAGATTTAGTCTAAGTTTTTGGAGTAGTACTAATAGGGAAGGTTGTGAATGATTTCTAAAGTGTTAGTGTCATTTGGTTGTTTCGTTCGTCGACGAATATGTGGAATAATCATTGAGTGTCATCGCCCTGATTCGCAAGCGGCCACCAACAAAATTTCAGATTCCCATATTGATGGCCATGATTGGTGTGCTCTACATCAATCTTCATGGTTCAGAAACACAAGCGCTTTTGCCGTATGATCAGTATATGCATCGTTTTGCTGCTTACTTCCAGCAAGGTGATATGGAGAGCAATGGTAAATTCGTGACGAGGTATACTTCTTTGATGTTTGATTGGTGTCATTCAGTGCTTTTCAAATATTGTTTGATTGAGTTTTAAACATTTCCAAATGGTGATGAAATGAAAATCGAGACGATTTTAATAAAACGATCATCACTTAATTTCAGAGATGGATCTCGAGTGGACTATTCGACCGGTCCAATTGTTTGGGGTGAGCCGGGTACGAATGGCCAGCATGCCTTCTATCAACTCATCCATCAAGGTTGTTCATCTCGTGGAGATATCTTTACAGGCTATATCAGATATTTGTTAGCTTTATAGTTCTTACAATAAGGTGTGAGATGGAAGTAATCTCTTTGAGCTGGAAATATTTTCTCGCATTGAAATACTGCATGGAAAGAGTAAGGATTAATAATTTCATTGCTTTATAGGAACTCGCCTCATTCCGGCCGATTTCATTGCACCAGTCAAGACACTCAATCCGATTCGAAATGGTCTTCATCATGAGGTGTGATATATTTAGATAAGCCTATGACATTTGATCAAATTGAATCAAATTCCCTAAATCTGTGATATTTTTTCCCAAGTTGAATTGAATTTTGTAATGAAGTAAATTTTCAGATCTTACTTTCGAACTTCCTCGCTCAAACAGAGGCTCTGATGAAGGGTAAAACTCCGGATGAGGCAAGAAAGGAATTGGTCGCAGCAAAAATGAGTGAAGACAAAATTGCAAAGATTCTCCCGCATAAGGTTAGAAGAATATTAGCAATCGCGATTGAGTTTGTTCATTATTGCTTGTCGTCTGTGTTGTTTTATGCTGATTATAATATTTGAGGTATTCGAAGGAAATCGTCCAACCAATTCAATTGTTCTACCAATCATTAGTCCGCTAACGTTAGGTGCGTTGATAGCACTCTACGAACAGAAGATTTTCGTGCAAGGCATTGTATGGAACATTAACAGCTACGATCAATGGGGGTTTGTTTTTGCTTTTTTTTCAATTCATTTTTTAATTCACCATTCCGCTGTTTTCGTTGATTTTGAAAGAAGACGTTTCCAAATTCTAATCTGGATGTTCTGAGGAATCGAGCAAATGTTATTATGTTCTTATTATGTTATCTGGTTTTTGAGTGAGGACGAAATTCTGCAGTAATGTAAATCTAATAAATAGTAATTGAAAATTG